GATAATGGGTGATCCAAATTGGGATAATGGGTGATCCAGTTGGGATAATGGGTGATCCAGGTTGGGATAATGGGTGATCCAGGTTGGGATAATGGGTGATCCGGTTGGGATAATGGGTGATCCAGATTAGGATAATGAGTGATCCAGGTTGGGATAATCGGTGCTCCAGCCCAGTTATTGCTTGAATTAATACTCACATTTTATGGCAACAGCCACAAAACTTGGTTTGTTTTATTAATTAAATCCACGAGCCTCCTTAATTAAATCCTCTTGGAGCCCCTCCTGGGCGATGTAAAAGTGGTTTCAAGCCCCAATTTTTAAGGTTCTGCACCTTTATCTTCCCCTTGCAGGTGTTATTTTAACTCCAAACCCTAACAAAAGGCAGAGAAAAGTTCATGTGACTTTCCTGTCAGACTTTGTTCAGCTCTAGGAACGAGAAACTGCTGAAAAATCACAAATAAAAATAGTTTATCAAGGTTATTAGCAGCTAATTTGGGCTGAAACGTTTCTGTTTGTCGTGCGTATCGAGTTCCTTTTTTTCTCTTTTTCCCTGCCTGAAAGTTATTTACATAATATATTGTTTCTGGGGTTTGTTCTGGGATTTTCAAACCAAAAAAAAGCTCAGCTCGTGCCTCAAAGTTTCTTTTTGTGTCAGTTCCTGGCTGGTTGAGCCTCTGGAATTGAAAAGTTTCTTCCCTGGGAAGGGACTGTGGCATTCCCAAGGGAAGGGAAGGAGAAATGTTTAGGAAAGACAAGTGCATTTTGCTGCAGAAGTTTAATTTTGATTAAAGTCATCAAAACAAATGAAATGATAAAATAAATGAATAAAATCAACCACTCAGATTCTTGAATACATGGTTAAAATCAATTAGCAGCATCCTGATGCCTTTTGTGCTGTACCTGATATGGGTAAATATATAAATAGATATATAAAGAATGCAAAAATATAACAAATTTCCTGTTGTCTAATTACAAATATTTCCTTCCTAAATGGGGGAAGTTTTTCCCACCCTGTGTCCAGACACAGCTCAATTTTAGGCTTGTTTTCCCACATGGAAAAAGACAAACTAATTATTAAATCAATGTTAATTTTTCTGGGTTGGGAAAGGGCGAATCCACCGTGGCCTTTGCAGGCTCCAAAGGGTTGGTTTGTTCCAGGAGCCACTGAAGAGACAAAACTCAGGCAGAATGAGCATTTTCCCCACTTTTGGGAGTGTAAGGAACAAATATCCTGAGATTTCTTTGTGTGTTTGGTGCCTCAGCCACCCCTTTCCATCCCTGGGAGTACCCAGCCAGGGAAAAGGGCTTGTTATCGAAAATATGGGATCTGTAGCATCTTCCAGGGCCTGAAAGGGCTCCAGGAGAGCTGGAGAGGGATTTGGGATAAGGGATGGAGGGGCAGGACAAAGGGAATGGCTTAACGTTGGAAAAGGGGAGATTTTAGTGGGATATTGGGAAGGAATTCCTGGCTGGGAGGGTGGGAAGGCCCTGGAATAGAATTCCCAGAGTAGCTGTGGCTGCCCCTGGATCCCTGGAAGTGTCCAAGGCCAGCTTGGAGCAACCTGAGCTGGTGGAAGGTGTCTTTGCCCATGGCAGGGGTGGCACTGGGTGGGCTTTGAGGTCCCTTCCAGCCCAAACCATTCTGGAATTCTGTGAGATGGATCCTTTATTCAAATGCTCCACAGGTTAATTCTTTTCCAAGGTGGGAAAATGCTCCTTCAGCGTGGCCTCTGGAGGCTCCAAAGGGCTGGTTCCTTCGAGGAACCACTGAAGTGACCAAATGGGGTGACACCAACCATTGAGGTTCAACCAGGCCAAGGGCCGGGTCCTGCCCTTTGGCCACAACAACCCCCGGCAGCTCCAGGCTGGGCCAGAGGGGCTGGAGAGCAGCCAGGCAGGAAGGGAGCTGGGAGTGGGGATGGACAGGAAGCTGAACAGGAGCCAGAGTGTGCCCAGGGGGACAAGAGGGCCAATGGATCCTGGCCTGGCTCAGGAACAGGGTGGCCAGCAGGTCCAGGCAAGTGATTCCTGCCCTGGACTCAGCGCTGGGGAGGCCACCCCTGGAGTGCTGTGTCCAGTTCTGGGCCCTCAGCTCAGGAAGGACATGGAGGGGCTGGAGCAGGTGCAGAGGAGAGCAACGAGGCTGGGGAAGGGACTGGAGCACAAGTGCTGTGAGGAGAGGCTGAGGGAGCTGGGGGGGCTCAGCCTGGAGAAGAGGAGGCTCAGGGGAGACCTCCTCACTCTCTGCAACTCCCTGACAGGAGGGAGGAGCCGGGGGGGGTTGGTCTCTTTTCCCAGGCAACTCTCAGCAAGACAAGAGGGCTCGGTCTTCAGCTGTGCTAGGGGAGGGTTAGGTTGGAGATTAGGAAGAATTTCTTTGCAGAGAGGGTGCTCAGCCATTGGAATGGGCTGCCCAGGGAAGGGGTGGATTCTCCATCCCTGGAGGTGTTTAAGGACAGACTGGATGTGGCATCAGTACCATGGGCTGGGAACCACGGCGGGGTTGGATCAAGGGTTGGACTGGATGATCTCAGAGGTCCCTTCCAACCCAGCTGATTCTGTGATTCTATGATTCTGTGATTCTATGGGATGGGACAGCTGTCCCCAGCCCGGGGATGGATGGATGGAGCCCTCCAGGGCTGCCTCAGGGAAGGAACAGGAGGTACAAACCAGGGCAGGCTGCAGCCTCAGGCATGTTTTTCCCTCCTTTCCCTTTCACCAGCTGGCACCAGGCTGTGTTTGCTCCCAGATGGATTGGAGGTGACACCTCTGGTCATGTCAGTGCTGTTGGGATGATATCTCTATTTTCTCCTCTCTCTCAGTGCTCTGGTAGGACAAGGGGGAGAGGAAGGGCTTGTAAACACCTCCAGAGATGGATCACAGACATGGAAGGCTCATGAATTATTTGGGTTGCTCCTCACTTGTCAGCAGCTCAGCCTAATTTAGGTGCTGTGCTTCCTATTTTTCATCTTGGAAGTGACAAGTGCTCTGGCTCCATGTGCTCTAGGATGGGATTTGATGGAGGGTTTGGATCCTGCAAAAAATTAACCGTGTGTTAAATGGTGCATTGGAAGTTTCAGTGACTTCCCAAACATCTCAGAGTCCCAGGATGGGTTGGGTTGGAAGGGATTTGAAAGCCCATCCAGTGCCACCCCCTGCCACAGGCAGGGACACCTCCCACTAGCCCAGGTTGCTCCAGCCTGCCCTTGGAAACTTCCAGGGATCCAGGGGTAGCCACAGCTTCTCTGGGAATTCTATTCCAGGGCCTCCCCACCCTCCCAGCCAGGAATTCCTTCCCAATATCCCACTCAGATCTCCCCTTTTCCAACATGAAGCCATTCCCCATGTCCTGTCCCTCCATCCCTTGCCCAAAGTCCCTCCTGACCTTCCTTGGCTTGAAGTCAGGTCTGGTGGATCATCAGCCACAAAAACAGGAAAACACACGGAAAAAACAAAATCATGGAGGAGCTCCAGCACCCGTGGAACGAAGCACATGGAATGAAGGTACCTTCAGATGAAGGCGCTGGGAAATGGAGCGAGTTTTAAAGTGAACAAATTTTCTTTCTGGGTCAGAAACCCCCAGGGCCTCCCCACCCTCACAGTAAAACAATTATTCCTTGAATCAACTTGAATTGACCCCCTTTCAGTTTAAAACCCTTTTAAAATCACATGTAGGCATCGAGTGAGGCAAAAATTATATTCTATTACAACGAAGCACTTCTCTTTTGCGTTTCAGCCTTAAAAAAGGGACGCTTTTGGATCACCCCCGACCCCTACCACAAGGATGACAACATCCAGATCGGGCGGGAGGTGAAGATCTCGTGCCAGGTGGAGGCCATCCCGCCCGAGGAGCTGACCTTCAGCTGGTTCAAGAACGGGCGGCCCCTGCGGAGCTCGGAGAGGATGGTGATCACCCAGACCGACCCCGACGTGTCCCCCGGCACCACCAACCTGGACATCATCGACCTCAAGTTCACCGACTTCGGCACCTACACGTGCGTGGCCTCGCTCAAGGGAGGGGGAATCTCCGACATCAGCATCGACGTCAACATCTCCAGCAGCACCGGTGAGAGCCGGGAGGGGATCCTGGGGGAAGTTTTGGGGGGATGGAGCCACGGGATGGCTTTGCTCTCCTGGGATGGAGTCACAGGATGGCTTTGCTCTCCTGCTCCTGGGGGGAAGTTTTGGAGGGATGGAGCCACAGGGTGGCTTTGCTTCTGGAGGGATGGAACCAAGGATGGCTTTGCTCTCCTGCTCCTGGATGGAAGTTTTGGGGGGATGGAAGTTTTGGGGGGATGGAGCCAAGGATGACTTTGCTCTCCCATTCCTGGATGGACATTTTGGTGGGGTGGAGTGACAGGATGGCTTTGCCCTCCCGCTCCTGGGTGGAAGTTTTGGAGGGATGGAAGTTCTGGGGGGATGGAGTGACAGAATGGCTTTGCTCTCCTGCTCCTGGATGGAAGTTGTGGAGGGATGGAAACAAGGATGGCTTTGCTCTCCCGGGATGGAGCCACAGGATGGATTTGCTCTCCCAGTCTTGGGTGGAAGTTCTGGGGGGATGGAGTGACAGGATGGCTTTGCTCTCCCGCCTGGAAAAAGCACTTCTCGCCACAAGCAGGGCTGGTTGGACAGGGCTTGGAGCAACCTGGGCTGGTGCAAGGTGTCCCTGCCCATGGCAGGGGGTGGAGGGAGGTGGGATTTAAGGTCCCTCCAATCCAAACCAGGCTGGGATTTCATGACCTTTGAGCAGGGCCTGAGTTACTTTGATTAGACAGCAGAAAGCTCAGGGAGTGACCTGTTGGATCGTTTTTGGCCGTGGAGATGCTCCAAGAGCTGGAGCTCTTCTCCTACAAAGACAGGCTGGGAGAGCTTGGGGGGGTTCACCTGGAGAAGAGAAGGCTCCAGGGAGAGCTGAGAGCCCCTTGCAGGGCCTAAAGGGGCTCCAGGAGAGCTGGAGAGGGACTGGGGACAAGGGATGGAGGGACAGGACACAGGGAATGGCTTCTGTGGGGAATGGACAGATGGGATCCCTCCTGGCTGGGAGGGTGGGGAGGGGCTGGGATGGAATTCTCAGAGAAGCTGTGGCTGTCCCTGGATCCCTGGAAGTGTCCAAGGCCAGGTTGGATGAAGGTTGGAGCAACCTGGGCTGGTGGGAGGTGTCCCTGCCCGTGGCAGGGGGTGGGATGGGATGAGCTTTAAGATCCCTTCCAGCCCAAACCATCCCGGGATTTCTATGATCTTACTATCAATTAAAGAACCTGGAGGATTATTACTGGGGAAGAGCCAAGTTGGGAACGCCACGGATTGCCCACCTGGCACACAGGAACCACTGCATTATCTCTGCTTTCCTGAGAATCATTTGGAAAAACAATAGGATTCGTTGGAAACATCCGTTTTGTTGGCCATTCCTTAGCTGGCCATTCCCATGAGCTCATCCCAGTTCCTTCAGTCAGTGGTGAATTCCATCAGCTCTGACATTCCCAGCCCTGCAAGAAGATCCTGAGGAAAGGGGGGAAGCAAACCTGGAGTTTGGGCTCAGCGTGTTCAGCTCTGCCAGGGGGGTGATTTCATCCCCCGGAGAAGTGGAAGCTGAAACAGTTGCAGTGCTTTGAAGGTCATTAGTGATTCATCAAGACTCATTACTGCCTGGTAATTAGCAACATAAGGCCGAGGCACAAACATGTTTCCCAAATGCCAGGACTTGCAGGGATTTATTAATATCCCTCCCTGTGTCTGTTGTGCTGCTTTGGAGAGGGGGGGAGGGAATTTTCTCTTCCTGTCACGTCTGAGTCTCCTCCTGGAGTCTCCAAGCGAGGCAGGAGGGGTTTGTGGCACCTTTAGGTCCCCCCAGAAGGTTGGGAAGGGATGTGTGGCAGTGCCTCTTGACACACTTGGCATCACACTCCTTCAGCAGGAGTATTTTCTCCCTGGACATTTTGTACTTTGCAGAGATTTATGGCCTGAGTATCTTACATAAATGGACCTGAAGTAATCCCCTCCCAGCTCCCCCCAAACATATCTCGACAAAGTAGGTCAGTGAATAGTGAAAATGAAGGCTCAAATGTCGAATATTTGCCCTGGGAAAGCCTTGTCATCCATAAAAACCAACCCTGGGCAAAAACCAACCCACCAGGATGGCTCTGTGGGACCAGGTCACAGGGAACCTGAAGGCATAAGCTGTGAAAAAAAGCAGCAAGACGTTAAAAAAGCAACAAAACCCTCCCCCTCAGTAAAGTGGGTTCAGGGTAAGCAAACAAACAAAAAAGAGAATGGATCAGGAAAATGTGTCAGTCTGTTGAGGTGATTTTTTTTTTTCCTCTGCCTTATATTTGAAGCAGGAAGAATAAAGCTTTGGGGTTTGTGTGTTCTGCCCTGTCCAGGACAGGTTCTTACCCCGCCTTTATCCCTGAAAAGCAGCATCAGCCCAGGCAGAGCTGGAATATCTGTCCCTCCTGGCTTATTCTCCTTTCCCCCGGAGACAATTTTGTGCAGGGAAGGGAATTGTGAGTTCAGGGGGTGTTTTACTTCTTTTACTTTATTTTTCGGCGGCGCTGCTTGGAATTGTCCCGGGAAGGGCTGGCTGGAGGAGGTGGAGATCCTGCTTTTCCTGAGGGACTCCTTCCTGCCATCTCCCTCCTGCCCTGTGTGGGCACAGCTGGGTGTCCTCCATGGCAAACATGTCCAACAAATCCTTGCTCTCTGGGAAAAGTTGAAGACGTGCTGAGCACATTCCACCTGGGGATAGGCCCATCCCAGACATAGATTTTGGGAATGAACACGGGGCAGGCTCCATGTCTCCTGTTCCTCCATCTCATAGAGTGGTTGGGCTTAGAAGAAGACCTTAAAGACCATTTCATTGTCTGGAGATGCAGCCCAAACACTCCTGGGCTCTGCTTTATCCTATAATTATTACCATTAACCCACATTAAGCAGCCTGACCACACAATCCCAAAACTCCTCCCTCATCGCTGCTGAGAATTCCAGGCCTTTTCCCAAGGCTTTCTTTATGGGGCCACCATGGACTAGATGGTGGCTTAGGGAAAGCCCTGGACAAAGGCCTGCCAGGCTCAGCAGTGCTGAGGGAAGAGTTGTGGGATAGTGTGGTCAGGCTACTATTATTATTATTATTATTATTATTATTATTATTATTATTATTATTTTTATTACTACCATCATTATCATCATAATTATTATTAATAATATTTTATTATTTTATTATTATATTAAATTATTAATTCTTCATTATCATTATGTTTTATTACATTTATATTACTATATAATAGATATATAAATCATATAAAATTAGGATTACATACATATTTACTATACGAAGTATAATAATAATAATAATACAAGAAGACCTTAAAGACCATTTCATTGTCCTGTGCAGGGACACCTTCCTTTAGACCGGGTCGCTCCAAACTGGCCTTGAACACTTCCAGGGATAGATTTGACTTTCCTGCTTGAGCCAGGCAGAGAAATCCATGAGGAATTAGTACAACTGAGGCTGTGCAGTATGACTGGGCTTTCCCTGTTCAGCTAATCAGCTCTGTATTAACTAATGAATTAATTAAACATCCGGGCTGACGTGGGGGGCCTGTTTGTCCTCTGGTCATCTCCTTCCTGCTTTGATGCTCCATTAAAGAGACCTTCACTTGGGCTCCAGACGTTTATTGGAATCACAGCTGCATAATGAAAAAGTGCTTTTTGTGAGGTAATTAGCGCTCCAATTAAGATATTTGTAAAACCTGAAGCACTGTCCAGAGCGATCTCACGGGTAGCCCCGAGATACCCAAAATCACACAGTTATCATGGCAAACTGATGATTTTTTGGGAGCCATTATACCCTCAGAGTTTATCTTTGAAAGGAGGAGGTGAACAGCAGGGACAGATCGAGGCCTGATTTGGTTAAAAAAGCTTTTTTCTTTTACAGTTCTATTTTCATACTTAATGTGTGGAGATTTTCCTTGTTAATTCCGTCCCTTCCTGTCACACGGGGCCAGGAGGGGCCCTACTCTGCAGCCCCTTCCCACGGAGATCTGGTTTTGTTTCTGGGATGTCTTCACCCCCAGTGGATTGATTCCAGCAGGATTTCTGGGAGCAAACACCCTCCATGTTTTTATCCTTCTCCAGACGGCCGTGGAGTTGGCTCCTCATGTCCTGGTGCATGTGGAGCATGGAGCTCCTCAGCACAGCTCCTGCCACAGCTCTGCAAGATAATTTGGCTGATTTGAAACTGCCTGTGGATGTTCTGGGTTTAAAATGTTCCTCTTCAGTCCAACTGCAGAGCAAGGCGGTGTTTCAGGGTATTAGAGGTGTTATATACATATATATTTGCACAATATTTATATTATATATATATTTATATTAGATATATATTTATATAGACAGATAGAGATCAATAGATATGGATACAGATGTATTAGAAGAGTTCTAAGCCCCGATTCTGGAATTATTTTACTGCCTAAGCACATCTCTTGTCCAAGCCTCCATTATCATTTAAGGCAATGAGCTCAGGTCGCCCCAGGGGAGGTTTAGGTTGGACATGAGGGAAAATTCCTGCATAAAAAGGGTTATAAACCACTGACACAGGTTTCCCAGGGCAGTGGTGGAGTCACCATCCCTGGAAGTGTTGCAAAAACGTGTGGATGTTGCACTTGAGGACATGGTTTAGTGGTGCTGGGTTGATGGTTGAGGTTTAACCATCTTGAAGGTCTTTTCCAACCTCAGCGATTCTGTGTTTCTGTGGAGTCTGTGCTTGATGTTGTGTCTTCACCTGCAATCAGAAGTGGTTTTGTGCCCCAGAGAGTTGGATGAAATCAGCAGCCAGTCTGGTACCAAGTAAAAAGGTTTAGTGCCAAATCCTCATAAAAAAAGAAAGCCCTAAGTTGCAGTGCTGAAGTGCTGGCTGGGACTGATGGTCTGAGTCCTGGGACAGAGACATACAGGGAGGTCACTGAGTGTCACCCAGGGCTGGGAAATCCCAGCTGAGCCACTCCAAGCAGCTGAGAACCTCATCCCATAAATCCAGCAGCATTCCACAGCCTTCCCATATGTAAGCAATCCCTGCCTTTTGCTGTCTGGGTATAAATTGCTCCTCAATGAGCCTGAGAGAGCTCAGGGAGTGTTTGGATGATCTTCTCCGCCTCATGAGGTGGTTCCTGAGGACAATCCTGTGCAGGACTAAGGGTTGGACCCTTGTGAGTCCCTTTTGCCTGAGGGGAGACCCTCTCCAACCCCCTGACAGGAGGGGGGAGCTGAGGGGGGGTCGGGCTCTGCTCCCAGGGAACAAGGGACAGGAGGAGAGGGAACGGCCTCCAGCTGGGCCAGGGGAGGCTCAGGGGGGACATCAGGAAGAAGTTCTTTCCAAAGGGTGATCAGCCCTTGGAATGGGCTGCCCAGGGAGGGGGTGGAGTCACCATCCCTGGAGGTGTTTAAGGACAGACTGGATGTGGCATCAGTGCCATGGGCTGGGAACCACGGCGGGGTTGGATCAAGGGTTGGACTGGATGATCTCGGAGGTCCCTTCCAACCCAGCTGATTCTGGGATTCTGTGATTCTATGATCTCAGAGGTCTTTCCCAGCCTGGCTGATTCCGGGATTGTGCTGGCAGGCCGAGGCAGGAATCCCTGTGCCGTGCCCGCAGTGCTGACTGTCCCCCCTCTCTCTGTCCCCTGCAGTGCCACCCAACCTGACCGTCCCCCAGGAGAAGTCCCCGCTGGTAACACGGGAGGGGGACACCATCGAGCTGCAGTGCCAGGTGACAGGCAAGCCCAAGCCCATCATCCTGTGGTCCCGGGCCGACAAGGAGGTGGCGATGCCGGACGGGGCGATGCAGACCGAGAGCTACGACGGGATCCTGAGGATCGTCAACGTGTCCCGGGAGATGACGGGGACATACCGGTGCCAGACCAGCCAGTACAACGGGTTCAATGTGAAACCCAGAGAGGCTTTGGTGCAGCTCATTGTACAGTGTGAGTACACTGTTTCTTTTCTTTTTTTCTTTTCTTTTTTATTTTCTCTTTTCTTTTTTATTTTTCCTTTCCTTTCCTTTCCTTTCCCAAACCTTTCCCAAACCTTTCCCAAACCTTTCCTTTCCTTTTCCCAAACTTTCCTTATTTCTTTTTTCTTTTCTTCCCTTCCCAAACCTAACCTTCCCTTCCCAAACCTCCCCTTTCCCTTCCCCTCTCCCTTTTCCCTTTCTCTTTCCTTTTCCTTTTCCCTTTCCTTTTCCTTTCCCCTTCCCATTTCCTTTTCCTTTCCCCTTCCC